AGGGATCCTTTTTGTGTTTGGGGTGAAGGCAAAACAGTGATTTTCAAAGACGGAAGCGTGTTTTCCTTTTCTGGCTGGCTAATGGAAGACGGAAAGGAAAATTCTCTCTCTCTCTCTCGTTTTGTTTATTACTTTTTAGCAAGCACGACTTGAGAGAGTTCGTTTAAAGTCTACCAAAAGGGCAAGGAAGGAGGTGGGGAGCAGAGCGGAGGACTTTGCTGGTGAGGGTGGGGTCCACTGCCGGTCAATTAATGCATCAAGCCGTCAACACGTAAGGCCCGGCACATTGGTGGGTCCCATTCAAAAGTTATTGCGAGGGACCCTCCTTCGTCTTCCGCGTGGATGATGGCCATTATTGTATTATTACTATTATTTTGGGTTGTTAATTTAAGAACTAACAATCACAATGGTAGCTATAAAACAAGAAAAAATAATAATTAAAATTCCAATCAACGGTGACGTCGTCTGAGAGAATCGTCGTCGTTTCATCAACGAATAGAAAATGTCTCCAGTGGTAACAAGACACATGCCTACCTCTGGTGTTTCTTTTCCTTTTTAACAATATATTGCATTTGAGAAGACCCCCCAACTAATTATTATTGATCTACGACCCATACAATATTATACTTAATTTTTATTAAATAAAACGAATAATTATTAAACAAATAATAAGATTTTATTATTGAACCTTAAATAAGGTTTAAAAATCAAATCATAAAGTTTAAACAAATAATAAGCCACGAACCCTGTGTCACAAGATTTTATTAAACCTTAAATAATTATATCTCAACCGGTCAATAATCTTTTAATTGTTATTTCAATACCTAAACAAATATTATTTATTCTAGTGCTATGCTATATTAGTTCATAAAGGAAACCACAAGATTTAATGAGAATCGTGCAAGCATCCCATGATGTAACTAGAAGAATTTACATTAGTTATATATTTGCCAAATTGACATGTTGGCGGTAAATTATTTATTAGTTCATATACTAATTAATAGATCATGGATAATTATTATAAGAAACCGTGCAAGTTTGCATAATTGAGCGTGCTGATATCTAAAATTAAGAAGAAAAAAAATACTTGATTGTTTTGAAAATAAAAGCAATAAATAAACTAAAAGCTTCCGAAGATAAATATGTAAATAAAATAGTAAAAATAAAAAAAATGAAAAAGAGAATTGTATAAAAGAAAGAATATAAAGCTGTAAATAAAATATAAAAGGAAGATATATTGCTGAAAGCCTTGAAGAAACCTTTTCATGTTGAAACGGTGTATAGGCAGGAGCAAGTCAAAGAGCTTCAATGAATAAGTTGTTATGTGCTAATTCTTGTCCTACAAAATACAAAGAAAAGATTTTAAAATCAACCCTAAACAAGGCAATCATCCATTGATATATCAGTTCTTAATAGAATATCCATTAACTATTAGAAAGATTTTAATTCCTTCGCTAAGATCAAACAAGAAAACTCCCAACGTCATCTCCAGAATTTCGTCCGGTTTTAGCCACCGGTTGCAAGCTACTGTTTGGAATATCAGTGGCCGGCCATCTGTAAGAAAAACCCATTACCACATCTTCACATATCAATGATATATAAAGGTTGCAAGTGAGGTTCTGGCCTAGTGGTGAGAGGGGCTTGTCTTCTTTCTCCGCACCTGGGTTCGAACCTCATCATGCACGCCTGTTATCCTCGCGATGCCTTACCTGCTCACTGGGCTTGCAGGATGTTCAGTGGGTCGTGAGGATTAGTCGTGGTGCGCGTAAGCTGACCCGGACACCCCACGTAAATAAAAAAAAAATGATATATAAAGGTTTGTTTTTTTGTGATTTGAAGTTTAAGTATTGTGATTAGAAATATGATGGTTATTAAAGATTTATATTATTATTAATTTTAAAATTTATAAAATTAGTTAAGATATGAGTAAGTTGATCCGAATATTCACATTAATTAAAAAAATAATATATATACTTGAATTCTAAGAGATGTAACTTAATTGGTTAGATCACGAATTTGTTTTTTAGAGATTATTAGTCCGAATTCTATAAACTTTAATACCATTGAATACTTATATGATTGTTAATTTTAAGGCTTATAAAATTAATTGTGTGTATTAGTTAAGATATCTATATTAATTTTTAAAAAATAATATTAATATATATAACCATGTCTTTTTTATTTTTATTTATTTTTAGCATATCAAGGGGATATTCCTAGCGTCCAAGCTTCATGCATGAGCTCCCAAGGTCACCCAGTCATAATCAACGAAAATTGACGACCGGTGTGGTGCTCAGGCGCTCCCCATAAATCCCCCTTTGAAGTCTTCTTTAACGGATCCAAGGTGCAAAAAATATCAGACCTCAAAATACAAGGGGCCTATGTGTTTAAGAACGTGGTGCCCTAATTACCAATCAAGAATTAGGAACCGCCACCTTCTATTAATGTCCAGCTGCTTAAAGCGATAGCCTCTTGAAGAGCAGATTTTCCATTATAACTATTCTTACTCCCGGTGTCTGGAATCTTAACTAGCCGAGGAGCCAGCGCCATGGCGTGGTGGACTCACACGATTCTTTATATATATATATATATATATATATATGTGGGTTTTAAGGTGTCTTTGGAAGTCCGATTGAACCGTGATTCTGGAAAAAAATAAAATAAAATGTTTTTATTGTTTTGTTACGTTTATATGAAATACAAGTTTTAAAAATTAAAATAATATTATTTTAATATATTAAAAAACTTTAAAAAATAACTTTTATCACAATCTAAATATACTATCAGGTCTTGTTTGTTTCTAGTAAAATAATTTTTTTTAAAAATAAATTTTAAAAAAATAAATTATTTTTTTGATAGTTTATAGTGTCATAAAAAATAAGTTGAAAAACACTTTCTAGTATTTAGTTATATTATAGAAAATAAGCTGAAAAATAATTTATTATTATTTTTTAATTTTATTAAAATAATAAGAAACAAATCTTACAAATTAAAAAATTGAATGAAAATGGAATTGAAAAAATCTAATTTTATAAATTATCTTAAATAAAATAAATAATAATCAAAATAATAAAAATCAAATCTAACAGATAAATTAAAATAATAATAATAATAATTTCATAAATTATTTTAAATAAAATAACTAACAATCAAAATAATAAAGACTATCCTTGATAGATAAAAAAATTTAATTAAAAAATGATAAGAGAAAAGTAAATAACAATCATAAAAATAAGAATCAAAGTTAATATTAAAATTAAATCAAATCAAATTTTGAGAGATGCATTGAAAAAAAAAATTCAAACAAAATATATTGCCATCAAAAGTTTTAGAATTAAATTTGATATATTTAATATATAATATAATATTTTAAAATTTTTATAATTTCTAGAAAATATTTTTTACTCAAAATAAAAGAAAAACACTTTTCTAAAAATCAAGTTAATTTTTTTAATAAAAAAATATTTTTCATTCATCAATTTTATGGACGTTGATCTATATAAAAAAATTAAAAATTATTTTAGGGGAAATAAAAAGACCATTAATCTTATATTAGCCATGTTGCTGTCAACTATCATTTTAAGAACTGGAGACTAATTATTCAACAACAGATTTAAAACTCCATTTCCAACATACATATTTTTAAATAATATTATCATATGTTAAACCAAATATAAAATCTATTGAGGAGGATGAGCGAGAATCTTCAATGCAATGCCAGCAAGAATCCAAACTAGTTAACATTGTTAAAAAAAAATGCGTTGGGTTGTGCATTCTCGACGTATGATACGACAGAACATGGCGAAGAATAGAGCTACAGAGCCACATTATTGTCATAACTTGGAAAAATAAAAAAGCTAATAGATATTAAAGACAGTATAGTACAATTATTGAATAAATGTTTCCAATTTCATTGTATTTGGAGGACGAAAGAATTGTTCCGCTGACAAAAACAGTAGTGATGGCCCAAGCTCCTGGCGAGATATTTCTTTACAAGGCATGAATTCAAGTAGAGCATCCTATACATCGAAAACATTTATATTAATACGTGGATGAACCTTTAATATCATTCTACAAATTTCTATACATTCATCCAACATCTCTTGTTGGTTCTGGACAAGGGCATCGATACATAAGACCTGGTTATTTTTGTAAGAAAGACTCGATACCTGTATTATGTAAATGATTACTCAAGCTGTACCTATTTTCCCCAATAAATTCATAACCATACCCACCTCTATGAAAGCATCTATCCCCAAAACTACCATTATGATTCAACCAATTGGAAAGAAGATCAGTCGTATCTACATGCGCTATCATGCTGGGCATCAAAGAAAAACAAATGATGAAAAGCATGAAACTGAAGAAGAAGAAGAAGACTTTCATAAGCGATCTTATGTTCCCGCCCTCTCTCTATGATAATACACTTATTTAAGGACCCCCCCTGAATTGTAGATATTTCATATATTTCCTACCATGCTCCGATGCATGCAGTCACCACCATTTAAAATTTCATTCATCACTTCATGTACAGATAGAGTAATATCATCACAATCACACCATGCATATGCTTGAAAACAGTCGTCTAATACAACTAGAGGGCTATTAAATTAAAGGTTAATTTACAGCAATATAGACGCAAAAAAGATAGAATCAGTTATAAACTAGCTCCGATTCAAGGAGGAATCATCCTGAAATTCCAGGAGGAAACATCATACAGGCAAAGGATTAGAGGTTCTCCTTACCGTTCCTCAGCGCCTTCCTTTTTTCCTGTCTTGAAAAGAACAAGTTTCCTCGTAGTCGCGCCAAGAACAACGCACATGGATAACAATTGCATTTTCAAGAGGCCTCGTGATGATTAAGTAGCAACCACCGTCAATGTCCCAATTTTAACTTAATCACCAGAACCTTAATTAAGGACAGCTCAGGCTTGCATTTTAAACAGGAAGCGCCTTAGGAGCTGAGATGCACTCTTCCATCATATGAGTAAGGAGCCAATTCTAACAGCAACACTTGATTTTTCGACAGGAGCAACAGCAATTGAAAGAACAACCCCGTGAACAACATGAAAAGCAATGACACCAATGACATGAAGCCGATTCTTGACTCACTGGGGCAGACGGTGACTCCAGATGCTGCTGCCGCTGCTCAATACCTGCTTTCAGGGAACCATTTCTCATCCCATCTGCCAAACTGCAAAACCCCAAGAAATATAGATCATGAGATTACAAAGTGTTATTATAAAACTTGTTTTATAATGTAGATGAAATGGCAATAGTTGTGAATCATATATGAACATAAGTGACGTAATTGGTATTAATCATGGCGGTTGGAAAAAATTAACAAGACAGAATTTACTATTTTCTTGATTGTTATCGATTGACAATGAGAGAGAGGAGCATACGCAGAATATTTATGACAACACCATCCCTTTCGGCCACAGTTCCAATAATAGCAGAACGCCCAGCTACAATAAGAACACGAGCAGCTTGGCCACCTAAAGTAGCACCTTGGCCGTTTACAGTAGCAGAGCGCCCAGCTACAACTAGAAAAGTAGCAAAATGGCCATGCATATTTCTTCTTTCTTCTGCAACACAAAGGTATATTCCTCATTGACAAAGCATTAGGCTTGCGGAGTCCTAATTAATTAGGCACACACGTGAATATAATTGCAGAGTAAATCTAGACATCTTGTTTACATGCATGAAATACAAGCATGCCAAGTCCAGAGGCATTTCTGTCTGGACTGAATTCACACAAGAAGTCGCAAACATACAAGCATCCATGTATTCACTGTGTGCAATGTGAATGTAAACAAAGATATGGTATGGATATGTATATTATGCATGAATAACGAGAGTCCACCAGTCTTTATGCCCAATAGAAGTAATACGTAAAAGTTGAGCGCGCATGAATTATAGTATTCATGTGTTTGCATATAGAGAATGGGAGCAGCTTACATTGGAAAAGAAAAGGACTCGACACTGTCTCCACTTTCATATGAAAGGTTGGAAGTTCTAGGAGACTTCCAGGATACAGCTTGGTTTGGTTTATTTTCCTTATTTTGATATTCTGCGGGATCCTTGATAGTATTATCTGATATTCCATTTGCTCCACCCTTCTCTGTGTAGGTTTCCAAGGCAGGATCTGAAGACTGATTATCAGTGGCCACCATTGCTTTTGTAGCGGGTGGGCTGAACATGATCAATTCACCTGACTGTTTAATGTCTCCAGACAATCCCAGATCGCCCAACAATACAACATGGTCTCTGGAGAAACTATTGTTTCCTACGTGAATGCTAAACAATGATTCATTGGAAGCAACGCTCCAATCCATTGGTGCTGGACCTTTATTTCTTTCAAAGACGGATGATGGAATCCTAGAAGGATCATATCCTTCTGGTCGTTCCATGACTTGGAGAGGAGGGGATTGTGTTGGCGGCATGTTGTGCACCAGGGATTCGTGAGCGGCCTCAGAAACTGGGAATGTTAGCGTGCGATCTGAAGAGCCACGCTCACTTTCTTTTGATTTGTGAGAATTTTCAATGGAAGTATCATTCTCATGATCTTCTGATGCTGGTTGAGTAATCTCGTGAGCTTTGTTGGGTGAATCAAAATCAGTGCATGCTCCAGGGTCAGCGCTTTCTTTTGCGATCACATCAAATAGATCATACAATGATGAGCTAGATGAACTAAGGGATGAAGCAGAGGAAGGCGAGGAAGAGGAAGGACCTGACTTTACAAATGGAATGTAAAGATCCCCTTCTGTAGCAGTAAATTCCAGTTTTAACTCTCTTTGTTTGCTACTAACACATCCATTAATAAACTCGGGATTTGATTCTGAATTTTTACTGCTTTCGGTCCCAGCAATTTTCTCTGGGTCTCTCTGAAGCTTGTCACCACTCCCAACCCAAACACCAAGCTTTGGATATGTATCTTCATGATCCCTGGTTCCGCTCCCATCACTAACCTCTGGATATGATTCCGATTGCTTGCTGCTTCCGCTTCCATGTTCCAAGTCCATAACTGAAAAACATTAATCTGATCCAGCTTAGTTTTTAGTACTCTATTACTCTAGGAACCCTGCAGGATAAAGTTTTTGAGTATGAAAATGTGACAAAATTGAAGGTATCTCAATCTCACAATTTACCACACATACACAGCTAAGAGCTTGCTTGATGAAATGAAAACAATTTCTTTCACAGAGAGACCTATACACATGTAACTGTACAGGATACAATTAGCCGGGTAATATCAACAACTAATTAAAAAAAATGGAAAGATTTAATTCGCTGTGATACTCAGTTTAAGAAATTAAGAACCCATATATAACAAAATAAAATCAAATTCAAGGGAGAGGGAGAGGGAGAGGGAGAGGGGATTGGATAATTAATACATAAACAAGTACGATTCAAGTTTAGATATGGTAAAGTGCACCTCTACTAGTAATCTCTCTCTTCTTCCTCTCTTCTTTTCCTTTTGTTTTAATAATAAAAAAAAAACTATTTTCTTGCAATCTCCTTGACATGTATGCTAATTCACAAACACTATGAAACTAAACTGCCAACCACCAAATATAACATCTTTAAAATTCCGATAATTTCCACACAGATTAAAAGCCAATCGTATTCTGTTTGACGTCTTTTGTGCCACAACTTCGATCATAACAACTCAAACGCTAAATAAAATTCCTTTATATCTCATTTCCTTAATCCTCTTAAACGAAACAACATGCAAGAAGCAGCTCTGGCTATTCAACAAAACAAGAATAAGAGCTTACTTTTACGAATCATCCGCAGCTAATTATTCATTAATTAATTTGCTTCTCTCTATATCTATACTAAAATAACCAAACGAAAACAAAACGAAAAATCAAAGAAAAATCATTTGCAGTGATTTAAAGAATGTTCCGTACCTGAGATTTGATTTGAAAATGAACGGCCTAAATTGCTGTTGTTCTGAGAGATGAATCCCCCTCTTCTTTTTCTTGAGGTTTGTAGGTAGGAAATTAAGGAAGCAAGAAAGAAGGAGAACGGGAATCATCTGATGATACAAGGCTCTGCTATAGTTCAGGGATTTCTAACTAACTATGGAAATCTTTCGCGCCATCTTTCCTCCTCTTTCCAGTTAATGAAAGGGTACTTGGAGTTTATTTTTGGATTTTAATCTTGACTAATGGGAATGTGCCATGTCATCGAGTGAGGGGCTGTCAGGTCATTTTACATTTATACTTTCTAGTGGCCCTCTTTATACAGGGAAGGAACGGGATTGATTGGTTGTCAAAAAGGAAGAAATTCTCGCCGGAAAAAAATAAAAATGGCGGAAGAAGAAGAAGAAATAAAAGTGGAGGTAGTGAATCTGTAGATCGGATTTTGGATTTAGCCTCCTCCTCCTCCAGATCCAATTTTCCACTCTAGGTGGATGAACTAATCACGGGTTCTTCTTTTATATCATTTGATGAATGCTGTTATTTGCTTTTAGCAGACCAAGTTTTTAGTAAATGTTTCATCTCAAGAGAGTAATAAAAAAAATTCATATTAATTATCAAAACAACTGGAGCGAAGGTTTCACTGTTTAAATTAGGTTAATATATTTTTTAGATTGGGATGTTGCAAGTTTCACGTTGTGGCTCAAGTAGTTAGCGCGCGTTGTACATAACCGAGATCACTGTTTTGAGTCTGGACTCTCTGGACGTCGTATATCCTTTTAATCAACCACGAACCACGTGTTGTGCTTTCTTTTTAAGAAAAAATGATGAATGAAAATACATGGGCCAGGCTCATGAACCTTTCTTGGGCCTAGCCTAGCCAGTACAATTGGACTAACACTTTTGTTTTTGTTTTTTTAATTTTCATGTGTAAAATTTTTAATTTTTATATTTTTATTATATAATAAAAATATTAATTCAATTTATATGAATCTTAATAAGAAATATTAACTATTTATTAATCAAAAATCTTGGTTTGAATTTCTCAAGTTTGAAACATTATATTGAGTTATATATCTTTTTATTTTTGTAGTGATTTTATTATTTAATATGAGATTTTTTAATTAAATTTTATTATTTGATATTAAATTGATAATAAATAATAGAATTTATAATTTGAATTATGGATTTAAAAGATATATAAAATATTAATAAAAGAGTTGGGTTGATTTTTCAAGCTTAAACAGTTATACTAAATTTAATAATAATATCAACAAATTTTTAATAATCTATATATTATTTTTTTACTATGCAAGAAATTCAAATTCAGATGCAATCCGCAATGAAAACACCAGCAATAAACTAGTTTTCTCTATTAAAACAATGATTTTTTTTAATCTTTTAGTAAAGAGATTATTTTTCCTAAAGAAAAACAAGTATTAAGAGCGACATAGAAATATTTCTTGTGTGTGTGTATTTTCCTATCATACCGAAAGTAGCTTAATTTCCAGCTGTAATATTAAGTTTTTCGTGATGGTGAACGAGATATCAAAATTACAGACAACAATAGATAGATCTATATCAAATAGAATATTGAACGCGCGGGGCTGTAATGTGTCCTACAAAAACCCCAACATCCCCTTAAAATTCAAAATAAGAATCTTAATAATTCAGGAAATAAAATATACACTCCGGTTCCTTTTGTCATGGCGATCTATTATAAGTTTGTGAACCTATAAAATCCCAAGTATAATTATAACAATAATTAAAAAAAAAACTTGAAACCAACTTTTTTGGCTGTTCACAGCTTAAGAAGGAGTTGGGGATATTAAAAATATCAAGATATATAGATATGAGATAGTTATAGTTATTTTTTAAAATATTTTTTATTTTAAAAAATATATTAATATTTTTTTATTTTTTAAATATCATTTTTAAAATTAATATATTAAAATAATTTAAAAATATAAAAAATATATTAATTTAAAATAAAAAATAAATTTAAATTTTTTTAAAAACACTTTTTAAATATAATACCAAATACAATAGAGTTCCTATTATAATTTATCACGAAATCAATGAATATTTTAATACTAGTTCTCACTAATTCAACGGTAATTAGTTAACAATTCTTTGTTGTCAATCATGTTATACAATGTCTCTTTCTTTATTAAATTAGTTTTTATTTTTAAAAAATATTATTTTTCCATGTAAAACATTAAAATTAAACCAGATGATTTTTTTCAATCATAACATACTTCATGTATTTTTTTTAAAAATAACAGAAGTTATTTTTAAAAAGTGACTAGTTATAAAAATAAAAATATAAATAGAGCTACATTTTAAATTTATTTTTTAATAAAATTTTATATTTAAAATTATTTTGAATGTTGGGAATTGAGTTTTAAACAGAATTTAATATATAAAAATAATATAAAGATATTACTTATTTAATTTGCTATACTTAATGCTAAAACCGATTTTCTAAAAACGCTTATCCATTTTTTTCGAAAAACATTTGAATTAAATCTTATCTCGTATGAATTCAATTTTTTTAAATTAAATATTATAATTCAATTCAATTATAGCATAATTAATTACAAACCGCTTATAAAACGGAAGGTTTGAGTTTGTTTCGTCCGGCTGTGGGCAGCATATAAAATTCAGGCAGCGGGAGTGGCAAAAACGGCGCTGGCACATTTGCTTCTCTTTCATGGTTACTGCGAGAAAACACAGTTCTCATCGGCTGGATCTCTTTACAAAGAGAATAATCTTTTGCATTCTTTCTATCTCACCAGTTTCCACCCTGCAGCCTGGAAATTTAAACGATTTTTTCTTTTGAAAAGGGTACCAGTTCTCGTCTCTCCTTCCTGGGTTCATCTGTCATCATGCTGGTGTGTGTGTGGGTGTGTTCTTTCGTAGGCTTTCCTTTTATATCGATCAAAAACCTTGGAAGGAAGTAACGGGGTTTTGTCCTCTTATCTGTCTAATGTACAGTTTTTACAGAAATTGATGTCGTGGTAATGTTAATCATTACATGTGATTAGAAGCAAGAACTGTGGTGTAATTGATTCTTGCTCTTGTTTCTGTGGAGTTTTATTCTGGGTTTTAATAATTAAAGAAATTTGTTACTTTTCGCAGAGAGTAAGAGATGGCCTGTGTCAATTCTGGATTTCTTTTACTGAAACACCCATGAGTAATCACGTTTGCCCACCCTCACACATCACCATCCTCCTGAAATGTCAACTGCAGATTTATGTGCGTCAAAGTTTCAGTCTTTCGCTTTTTGATTATTCTTAGCTACCAGAAGGATTCGTTTTATCGCATTCATTATTAATTGAAGGATGTTACTTTCTTTCATGGGAACTGATGTGCATTTCAATTGATGAACTGATAGGGTTTATAATAATTATAAGCTGCTTTACTTTTCAGGTCTGTGTTTAACCCGGAAATGTAAGAAGAACATGGATAACTATTGCTGAATCTTTTTTGACTAACTCATATTTCATAGATTGGCGCATTAAAATCATCCAATGAGTGTTGGCCATCACCCTTCTACGAAATTTTGACTTGGCACCAAAAGAAGGAAAGTTGATGTCCAATGGAAGGATTCCAAGGTCTACATGCACCAGCTGGTGTTCCTGAACCTGCTTCTTCTCATGGCAATGTAAGGCTTAATTTAGATGGGTATGGTAATCGTGGGTCTGGCTTTCCAGGCCTAAAGAAGAGAGGTCATGGTCATGGAAATCGTTCATGGATAAAGATTGATCAGGATGGGAACTCAAAGATTTTGGAGCTTGACAAGGCCACCATAATGAGACATTGTTCTCTGCCTTCCAGGGATCTGCGCCTTTTGGACCCTCTTTTTATTTATCCCTCTACAATCTT